AATTTAATGCTTCAGAATTTTACTCGACGGGCTTTCATGTCATTATTTCGTGTACTCGACGACATCGCATTTAATGTGCAGCGTCGAATGGCACTAATGGACCATTTGCATTATGGACTAAATTTTGATCTGGACAAAAATTTCGTCAAAGCTTGAAAGAGCATCACAAAATTAGTAATATTCCAAAGTTTCGTTGCGAAATGTTGTAAAATGCGGATAATATAGCCTTGCGAAATTTGCAATTTTCAGTCATTTTGTATTACAAACGGGAAATTGATGCCAAAACACCCGATTGGGCTGTCAATTTCCCGTGCGTAATACAAAATGACTGAAAAACGGCAAACTTCGCAAGGCTATATTATCCGCATTTTACAACATTTCGCAACAAAACTTTGGATTATTACTAATTTTGTGATGCCCTTTCAAGCTATGAAGAAATTTTTGTCTAGACTTGTCTAGATCAAAATTTAGTCTATAATCCAAATAGTCCATTGAAACGTCCACATCGATCTCTCAAATAAAAATACACTATCATTAAATTCAACGAAGTAAGCTACACTGTGTGTATATATATATATATATATATATATATATATATATATATATATATATATATATATATATATATATATATATATATATATATATATATATAAATATATATATATATATATATATATATATTAGTTGCGTAATTGTACACTCTGCAATATGTTAAGATGAAAATGTTCTAGAGTGTGTATTATATAATTTCCATACCCTGCGCAAGCAGAAAGATGTTGTCTGCCGCGGCTGGGTCTTGAACCCGCGACCTTCGAATTACTAGATCGACGCTCTACCTACTGAGCTACACGGTCAGACGGATTTAAGACTGGAAATAATGAAATATACACTGAATGTCATAAACATACTCGTTTATATTAATTCAGCATCGAACAATACTAGTTCGATTTTACCTTGACTTGCTCATCCACTTGATAATCCTGTAAGGAATTCTTGCTGTAGCCATAAGATATTTCGAAGCTGGTTACCCAGGCATCCCCTTCATCTTCACCCTGGGTAGCTATTCCACTAATTGTCACATTTGTTATAAAGTCTACTTGAAGCCAAGGGACACTATCATCATCTGCTGCTATCCAACCGCCATACGTTTCAATCTTTGATGTATTTGTATTAAACGTATAGTTCAGGTTCAGTCTGCCTTTATCTGCCCCAGAGAGTGAGTATTTTGAAGATGACGCACTCAGTTGAAAGTCCAAAACCACATGACTCTCCATACCAAGAGGCCATAACTCGAACCAATCTCGCTCTAAATAAATAAGAGTGTAATTATAATTTAGATATGGCACTATACAGGGTGTACAAAAAATCTGAACAGATTTGAAATTGCTCTTAATTTTGCAAAACAGCTATTAGTATCCAGTTTTATATTAAAATGTTGTAAATTTGTATAATTTCTATTTAAAGAACTGTCAATAATATTTCAGTAAGTAAGGTCATTTAGTATATAGTATATAGTATAGTGTCTTTAGTGACAAAGTCATAGCGGCGCCGGAGACTGAATTCGTTGAAACGGCTGTAGCTAAATAAAAATCCCAGGTTTTAGCACAAGGCCAGTCCAGTCCATAGTCCAGTCCAGTCCATAGTCCAATCCAGTCCAGTCCAGTCCAGTCCATAGTCCAGTCCAGTCCATAGTCCTGTCCAGTCCATAGTCCAGTCCAGGTTTAGCACATGCCCATATCTTTACTTCCAATTGTATCAAAAGTGCTCGAGCGTTGCATATACGACCAATTGATCAACCATGTCTCAAGTGAACTGCATAACTTCCAATATGGATTTCTCAGGGGGAAGTCTACAACATCACAATTACTAAAGGTTCTACAACATAATCGACAAACATAATCCAAACTGATGTCCTTTATCTCGATTTCGCTAAAGCGTTTGACAGGGTTGGTCATCAGCTGCTTCTCAAGAAACTTAGTAATTTTGGAGTGTGCGGAAACTTGCTGAGCTGGTTTCATAACTATCTATCAGATCGCCATCAAAAAGTTACCACTTTAGGAAAAACATCCCGATCAACACCCATTCTATCAGGTGTTCCTCAGGGTTCAACCTTTCGCTCTTTATTGTTTCTTGTATGCGCGAATGATCTGCCCGAAAAGTTCACCACATCGTCTGTTGCTCTGTTCGCTGATGATACCAAGTGTTATCATGCCATAAGAACAACAGATGACGTAAAATCTTTCCAATGTGATCTGGCTGGAATCAGCCATTGGTGTCGGACGTGGTGCATGAACCTTAACGAAACTAAGTGTGGCGTTCTTAAGCTAACAAGGAATCTCAAACCCGTGCAGTCATCTTACCATCTCAACAACGATAACGCAGCCAACTCAACGGTTATCTGTAAAAGGCTTGTTCAAAAAGATCTTGGAGTTCTCATCACTGCAGATCTCAAATGGAACCAATAAGTCTCTGCTGTATGTGCGAAAGCAAACAGAATGCTTGGATTCGTAAAAAGGTTCTCCATTAAGATGCATGATCTTCGTACACGTACCGCACTTTATAAAACGTTAGTATGAAGTCGTTTCGCGTACACCTCCCAAGTCCGGTCCCCGCAGTTTGTGTCTTTAATCCTCGAAGTCGAGAAGATTCAAAGACGTGCAACGAGATTCATCCTATCGCTGCCGTATAGATCTGAAACTAGTTACCAAGACTATTGAAAACAGGTTTACTTCCTCTGTCTTACTGGCACGAGTACCTAGACTTGGTGTATCTCTTTAAGACAATTAAATTATATTATATATAATATATATATATATATATATATATATATA